ATATTTATTAAAATATTATTATATATTAAGTAAATAGGTTATTTTATAATATATATTTTTTTAAAAAATATTACTATAAATAGATAAATAGATTAACATTTTTTACTTTAATATTATTATTTTTAATTATTTTTAAAATCAAAGTCTCATATTAAGTAAAAAAAATGTTACATAAATTATTTTGTAAATTTTTTTGAAAAATGTTATTACAGTTAAGTAACATTTTTTTTTATCTCATATTACTCATTCTAATCATTTTTTAAAATTGAAGTTGCACATCGAGTAAAAAAATATTTTTTTCATCCCTAATTGTTTCTTATAATTAAAGTTTTACATCTAAGTAAATGAATAACCATAAAGAGCATATATAATCATACATTTATGCTTAAGATAAATGAATTTTGACATTTAATATTTAATTAATGGTGATTAACTAAGAATGACTTTAACATTTTTTTAAAGAATTCTTAAGAGTTTAGAAAGTATAAAATATAACAATTGATAGCAATATCTATATTAAAATTAATTATTATTTTTTAAAATTAACAAAAACTTAGCAACATTATTAAAATATTACAAAATACTACTTTGATAACATATAAAAAATGTTGTCTAATTATATAAAAATGTTATTGAAAATTTTTAACAACATAAATTATATACAACATTTGATAATACATTATAAAAACACATCAACAACATTTATATATAATTAGTTAACAATTTTTTCAGTATTTTAAAAGGTGATCTTTATATCGTAATGTGTATATAATTAATATCAAACAGTACAAGCCAACAGTGAAGGCCACACATATGCATGGTTCGAGAGATACCCTAAAAGAAAGTGTATTTAGGTAAGCTATATATGTGATCGTGTTGTTTAAGATAAGTGCAAATGTTATATTAATTAGCTATACTTTTATATATGCATTATTGGAATTATTATTTGCTCTGTAAGCTTTGATGGTTAAACATGATGGATATAATGGACATTGTCAAACGTAATTAAGCTGGTGCTTCTGGGCGGTTAATATGTCCTTTCCGAGATAAACCACTTTAATTAGTTTGTTACATTATTTAATTTTTATAGAACATGATTAATTGTATATCCAATTACGATATTGCCCAAATTATCCTTTTGACAGACTATTATATTTTATTAAAGTTATGCGTACGTGATATGTCTCCACCTTATTACATTATAGGTAGTTAAGATTTAAGAAGTGTGGCATTAAAAGAAGGAAATGTTTGATTTAATGTACCAACTAAAGCAAACACTAAATTCATATTAAAAAAGTGATAGATAGAATATGATGTTTCAAAAGGTTATTTTGGTCATGAACATTAATATACAGTTGTACTTGACCTACAGAGAGCTGTTAATTATTATAAGAGTCATACATCTCAGTGTTGGAAGTTCAAAGTCGAAACTCATCTTTAGCCACTCATTCAGTTGTCATGGGGGCTTCTGATGCTCACTTGTTTCTTTCTCTAGTGCACATTTTCATACTATGTTTCATGGCCAAAGTTGAAGCTTTAAACAAAACGGTCTCAGGCTTTTATGTGTTTGGAGACTCCACGGTAGACCCGGGAAACAACAACTACATAGAGACAGCTTTCAGGAGCAATTTTCCACCTTATGGAAGGGATTTTTCCAACCAAGTTCCTACAGGGAGATTTACCAATGGGAAGCTTGCCACTGATTACATTGGTAATTATTATATATAAAGTAACCTTGTTTGTTTAATTTCATGTATAGCCTTAACTTACATTGAGTAACCTTGTGTGTAAATGTCATTGCAGCTTCATACGTAGGTCTCAAGAAAGAGATTCTTCCACCTTATTTGGACCCAAACCTCAACAATATTGAAGAGCTTATGACAGGAGTTAGTTTTGCCTCCGCTGGTTCTGGCTTTGACCCACTAACACCAACCATCACTGTATTTCTCTACCTCTTTCTATGTGTTGTGTTATATGTTTATTTAGATGAACGAGGGGAAAAAAAATGAAATATGCTTCTTCAAAATATATTTTTTAATTTTGTTTATAATTATTATTTTGGATATCATGAAAAGGATACTTTAAAGATAATGAGAAAGTTTATGATATTGTAAAAGAAAAAAGTTCAAGAATGTTATGGTAAATTGTTTTTAAGAGAAAGTGTTTGTTTTCCTCTTTTAATTGGTACTTGTGGTTGTAGGAAATTGTTATATTTTTGTAGGGGAAGAAGTGTGGATGATGCATGCATGCATGTATATATAGAAAATATAATGTGAAATTGTGTATTAATTTCAGAATGTAATTCCGATAGAAAAGCAGGTGGAATATTTGAGAGAATGCAAAAAGAGAATGGAGGATGCGGTGGGTAAGCAGAGAAGTGAAAATCATGTGAAGAATGCGGTGTTCTTCGTGAGTGCTGGTACGAATGACTTCGTTCTTAATTACTTTGCTCTACCAGTACGAAGAAAGACCTACACTCTCCTAGCCTACCACCACTTCTTAATCCAACATGTGAAAAACTTTTTACAGGTTTCCTACTTCATCAAATTACTTCTATTACTATTAATTAAGCTGCTTCCATTAATGTCTCAATCTTTTTAATTAATTACGCCTGTGGCTATGGTCATAGTGACGTCGTAGGTCGTAGCCAAAGAAAAAGGATATTCAGCGACCTACTTTCATGGATGAATCTTTTATTAACAAAAACACAATGGACCATATACGTCGAAAGAGGGGGAATAAAAAAAGAAGTTAGACAGATCACAAATATATGGTGACAAATAATGAAGAGAGGGACAAGAGGAATGGCTGGTGTGGTTGAGGGTAGCTATGAAAACTAATGAAGAGTGAACCCCACAAACTTGTCCATAACAAACAAAAACGCGGTGCAACAAATTGCTTGCTCTGCAATAACACTACATACCCTACATTATAATAAAATGTTTCCTCAACCACATTTTTATTTTAGTTAACTTTCACTTTCTTTTTGGTAAGAAGACGTAACATTCTTCTTGGTTGAAATAAACCAACACAGTGGCAACCATTTACCAACATTATCCACTTACCTAGGAAGTACATTATCTTCTTGGTTGAAATATATATATATAGTGTAGAATTAATGGTAGTAGTAAAGTTAATAATAGTTAATGAAGTAATTAAGTGGACCACAGGCAAAGGCAATAATAACGTGGCCTGTCAGGTATCCTGTATTATACCTTTTCTATTTTTATGAACTCTATGGCTGCTGATGGGAGCCTAAGAACAAAATATAGCTCCATCTTGCATGAAATTAAATTGAACTACTGTAAAGCCAAATCCAGGGATAGAATCCAACTCATTAAATTTGAGGTTCAGAAATCGATACCGTTAAAATAGTAAAAGTAATTAAGATATATTTATTAAAAATATTTTATATTTTAAAATTATTTAATAAAATTATTAGTTTTTTAATTTAGTTAATTACCTATACACTGCTAGTGTAAAGTTTTTTTATACCGGCAACCAATTATTTTTTTTAATTGTATCATGTCACTATAAACACATTTACTTTTAATAATTAAAAAATATAATTGGTTGTCAGTATAAATTTTTTTACACTTGCAATATATAAGTGATTAATTCTTTTTAATTAATATCCTTATAACATTAGTTAGTGGGATTTAATAGATAAAACTATGTTAAACTTTGAAATGATAAAGATAATCAACATTATTGGTTCACATGGTGAAAAGTTGAAGTAGCATGTGCAAAGATTTTGATTTGAATTTAATTGTTGTTATTATAATTTTTATGAATAAAATAATTAAAAATATGAAAGTTATTATATATAAAAAAGAGTTTATTTATATGCCAATGTAGTGCGAATCTTAGCAAGTGTTATAATGCAGTTACTATGAGGCTGGATTCAGGGTTTTGGCATATTACCTTATTCCAAGGCAAGCAAGTGCTATGTTGAAAATCATGCTCCTGCTTTTGGGGCCAAATTTATTTTAGCTAAATGGGGTGTGGCATGTTCGGCAACCATTATCTACTTTTCCTACTTTTGTCGGCAACCCTAACCAAAATTAATACACTTGTAATATATATTTATAACTTTTTATTTTAAATTATTTTAATTTTTTTTAAATCCTTTGAAACATTAGAATATATATAAAAAATAACATTTTAGTTAAAATATTTCTAGAAATCTAATTCATGAAAATGCAATGTCAAATCTAGAAATAAATACCACTGGAAAAGAAGTGTCTGGATTTGAATTATAGGCCTGACCACATTCATTTGAGCTCGTCTATGGGGCCACTTTCAACTGGAGATGTTATGTAAAACTTTCTTTTTTCTCTAATAAATTACACTACGGGTACTAATTTATGTTGTAAATCTGAGTATCATACACTTCCGAAACTAATTTTTATTTTATATGATATGATAATAATAAAATAATTTCCGTCAAAAATATTTTTATAAAAAAAAAACAGATTATAAAATAATTGTGTAGCGGTGCAAATAGCAAAAGGGTGACGTGAATAGCAGCACCGGCCGTCTCGTCATCATCAGGATTTTGGAAATGTTGCAAAATAGGGCCTTCACTAAATTTAATATTAGATCGATGGATATGAAATATTCCATGTTTGATTTTAGTGACATGTTCATGTTAAAATTGTGTCCATTTCAGTCTTCATAGAGATTAATAAATGAGGCTTATTTGATATTCATTAATAGAAATATAAACACAAAATTTCAACATAACTTATCATATAGAGATAGGTTGTCTATGAGTCTGTTGCACTTTGCTACTGTGACTAAGGATTTTAACTGGGAAAAGAAAATGTTGGTCAGGATTTGTTGGCAGAAGGTGCTCAAAAAATTGCAGTAAGTGGAATACCTCCAATGGGATGCTTACCTCTCATGATCACCATGAATTCCCCAGATGCCCTTTTCCAGCGTCATTGTATTGACAAATATTCCTCCATTGCAAGAGATTTCAATCTACTCCTTCAGAACGAATTACACCAAATGCAATTGCAGCTCAACATGTCTAATTCAGATGCTAAGATCTACTACGTTGACATATATCAACCCATAGCCGATATGATTCAAGCACATGAAAAATTTGGTTCGTAAACAAATTAATCCATGGCTTGCTTTAGACAACTATACAAAATATATAGTCTATTCCCTCACATTTTTGTTTTGTTTTTCTGTACTAGGATTTGATGAGGTTGATAGTGGATGTTGTGGAAGTGGGTACATTGAAGCATCAGTTTTGTGCAATAAGGTTTCAGATGTGTGCCCTGATCCATCCAAGTATCTATTTTGGGATTCAATTCACCCAACTGAAAATGCATACCACAACATCTTCTTGGCTAGCTTGCACACCATTGATTTCATCGTCGATAACTAGAATATATATAAGTTCCTATAGTATAGACTCATTCCTTCTTTTTCTTCTTAACATTGTGGCACCCAAAGTTAATGTGATTTTTTTTTCTCTCTATTCTCGATATGTTTTGTGTATTTCAATAGATAAGAAGCTTTGTGAGAGATCATCTACCTCACATGTCATAATATAATATAAAATTAAATAACCTTTAATATATAATAAATAAACTCAAAGAAGTAAAAAAAATCACATTTTAACATAAACTAAATTTAATAAAAATATTAAATTATGAAAGAATTAAAAGTAAACTACTCAAAGTAAATAATATAAATGAAATCCTAATTAACCATAACTAATTATCCGTTGTCATATATCCTATTAGAAAAAAATATCAATTTTTTTTTTAAATTTTGAGGCTCATACGTGAAAATAGAGACATAAGAAAGTTTGATCATAAAACTATTCTTTTAAAAATTTTAATCTTCCCTTAACCTTTCTTTAATTAAAACACTTAACTACAATTAATTACAAATTCTCTTCCCATTTAATAAATATTATAATAACCTTTAATAAAATTATTATATATTATATTCTAAAATATATTAAATAATTAAAATAAATATTTAACGATCTCTACTAATAAAATAAAAATATTAAAATTATTAATAAAATACTTATATAGTGATACAAAATGATGGCAATGGTTCTTTGCCTTGTGTTATATAAATGTTATGATTGTATTTATGGTTCTAAATTTTAGGCCAATGTCTTGTCTTTTGATTTATCTTATTAAAGAATAAATATATCATTTTTATTTTAATTTAACAAACTTTGACTGTAGAAACAAAAGAAACACAAATTTTGATTGTGTAATCAATTATTGTACAACCTGCAGTTTCAAATCCTGTTGTTTATTTGATGTAGGGGGGCCTTTTTCCATACTGATAGTGATACAAAGAAATTTTGATATACATGCATCATGCATTCAAGTGGCTGCGCTGTCAAAAGAATTCTTTAACAACAGATTCAGTGGCCTCATCAGCAATGATCTTGTACATCTTCTGGGTTGGATGAACAGCATCCCAGAATACATAGTTGTCTGGATTTGAACAAGTTCTTGCCCCTTTGCATGAATCTCCATATTCTATTGTCCCTGTCCCAACACATCCTTTTGAACTTTCGATAAATCCTGCCATGAACCCAGATACAATTGAACATTATTCACATGTTGCTAAAGTTATGATGAAGTGTGCAAAAGTCTTTTCTTCATATATGAATGTGAATAATTCTCATATAAAAAAGTAACTTCAACACAATAACAAAAACATGGTAATTAAGTTGTCGTACTAACCGTATTTTTTAGGATTGGTCACCGCATTTTGGATAATACCAAAAACATCAATTAGTGTAGCCTTTAAGCCCAAATTTGTCTTTAAGTTGTCTAATTGTTGTGATAATTTTGCATTGAATTGGTAAGCTACTTTGTTCAAACGTTCAACACATCCTTCTTCTTGGTTCAAAATTGTCTTCATAAGTGGAACGCATCCCAGAGGTGGGACCCCTACAACCACCAACCTTTTCGCACCCAGTCTATGGATTGCCTGTACCCACCAAATTAAAATTCAATTATACTTCATATGCTTCATTTTCGAAGAGTCTTTAGAAGTACTGACTCATAGATTAAGAAATACAATTAATTTATTTATATTTTAATTTTCTAATATTTCACTTCACTTATAAATTATTTCATGCGTTCAATTTTTTTGCGCCATTTAAGACTTTGTTAAAAAAATAAATTTATATGTTTTATTTCCTAAAAATTATATAACTTTCTAATATACCCTTAAATATTTTTTATTTTCACTAATAAAATAAAATAAGTATTGAAAAATAAAAACAACACATTTATTGAAAAATCTATTAATAATGGTTAAGGGTATAATAAGAAAAAAAATATCTCATATTATATTGATATTATAAAATAATAATCAAATTGAAACAAATTAGAATAAGGGTGGATTTGTGGATGGATTCGATCTATTTAAAATCCAACTAGCAAAACCTACAATTTTAATGAATTGGATAAGATTGATTCGTGAAATAAATGAACAAAAAAAATGGTTTATATCCAACTCATGTAACTTGGATAAATAAACTAGTTAATATATCCTATCAAATTCAAGAGAATTGTTTTTTTCTTTCTTGTTTTAAGCTATTGAAACATAAGAAATAAAATAATACTAAAAAAGTGGTATAAATATATTTGTAAACAAATATTAAATATTTTATATAAAAATAGTTTTAGAATATCAATGTTTACACATTCTAACAAAAATATCAAAATCTTAATAACTTAAAAATTTAAAAATCTAAATACATTAAGTAAACATTAATCGTAAATCTTAACGCCTTGAGATTTTAAAAGTCAAAATACATCAATCAAATATTAAGCCTTAATATCTTAAAAATATACATTATTAAGTTTTAGTGTTAAACGAGCTAGTCCTTAGGCTTTGCATATTAAGTTTGCGAAGTTTGCGGGTTTCACAAACCAAACCAAAAGTCCATTATGATCATATGGATTTTAAAAAAAGAAGCATGTATCTGCATAAATCATAAGCTATACAGATGGGTTTGTAGACCCTAGGTGTTAGGAGGAACGAGGAAGTAATATCTAAAATCGCTAACCACACACTGATGTGCCACATATATATCTCTTGTGATTGGTACTTTCTCTAGATCTATATATAAACAAACAAATATTTAAATTATTTGAACTTAAATATAAATAAATTTCAACTAAATCAACCTTATTTAATATTTTTAATAAAAAACATCCTTCAAACAATAAATAAAAATACTATTTACAATAAATATAATTAAAGATATTTATTCTTCGTCTTGTTTTTAGTAGCAATCTATCACCTTGAAACGTGGGCTTCCCGACATACAGGCCCATTCCCGTGCAAGAAAGAATAATTTCATGTACCAACAAAATTGAATGCAAAGCTGTGAAGTAGGTGAGGGTTTTAAAGTGAATGGATAAACACACTTTTTTTTTATTACTTATATTAAAAAAATTAGTTATGCCTGTTAAATTTTATTAATTTTATAATATTATTCTTAAATTATATTATAAATATCAAAATAAATAATACAATTAAATTATCATGTATTAAAGGATGAATAATTTAGAAATAATATAATTAAATAGAATAGAAGTAATTAAAATTTGTTTATATTTGAAGAAAAATGTGTGTGCGTGTTTTTTTTTTCTTATAATAAAAAACTAAAAAAGTATTTAATAATTTTTTGTGTAATAAGTGTTAGGTCATAGAGTTTTCAACATTGGAGAACATTCACACAATGAGTAGTGAGTAAATTACACAAATATATTTAACATCACATCATAATTTAAAATTTTATGGTGTGTTTAGATGAAAAATTTTAGAAATTCAAGAAATTTAAAACTTTTAGAATTTGAATTACTTTCAATTTTAAAATATAGTTTGAATATGATAATTTGATTTACATCATGATTAAAATTGATTATATATATTATTGATATTTTAATATTAAATTTATAAAAATAAATATTAATCAATTTTTAAATATTTAATAGTTTTAAAAATCAATATTAAATAATACTTAATTTTTTTTAAAATATTCAATGATTAAAAAATTATTGATATTTTTGAATATTCAATAATTAAAAAAAGAAATGGAGAGAGAGAAAAAAAAAGGAGAAAGTAGGGAAGAGAAAGAGAAAATAGAATATGAAAGATAAAAGAGAGATAGGTGAAATGAAACACAAGAAATAGGAGTGAGATAAAGGATATATATATATATATATATATATATATGAGACATGAAGAATTTTAATTTCTTACTTTTTTGAGAGAATTTCAAATTCTTTGAAAATTCTCCATTTAAACAAGACATTTTCTCCCAAGGCATTTACATTTTTTCAAAAAATAAATCACTTTATTTAAATTTTTCATCCAAACACATTCTTAAGACATTAGGTATGTATATTTTTCTCATTTATATACTACTCAATATGTCAAACTCTAACCGATATGATACTCACTTCATACCTGAACTTCAACAATAAGAACTTATATTATAAGTGCTTAAAATTTAATAAGTTGTTGCATTTGGATATACATATTAACAAATACTTATACCATTTTAAAAGTGTTTAAATATATTATTATTGAAACATTTATAAGATGTCTCGTTTTTAAAAGTAACTTAATTTTTTTTCACACAATAATATTAAATAGAGTATGTTTTACTGACATTGTTTTCTCTAGTAACTTGCAAAATTTTGGTTACTTACTTTAAGTAGTGTTATTTTTCTTTTTTGGGTACAATATCAATTGTTTGGTTCAAAGGGGAAAGGGGAAGCAAGAGATTTTAATGGAGAAGAGGAGAAGGAAAAGGAAGGAAGAGGATGAGAGGAGTTAATTTTTTTTTTTTTTTAATGAAGGAAAAAAAATAAGAAGTAACTTTTTTCTTGTTTGATTTAAGGGGAGGGGAGAAATTTTAAAAATCCATTCATATTTGTATCATTATGACTTTAATTAAATTTAAAATCATAAATAAGGATATTTTGAATATTTTATTAAAAATATTTTAAAATCTTCTCCTTGACTCCAAATCTCCTAATATTGGAGGAGGACTAAAATTAGATGAGGAGTGATTTTGTTCTTTTCTTG